ACCACCACCATCACTACCACCACCATCATCACCACCATTACCATCGCCACCACCACCACCACCACAACCTTCACTACCACCATCATCACCATCATCACCACCACCATCATCACCACCATCACCATCACCACCACCATCATCATCATCACCACCATCACCATCACCACCACCATCATCATCATCACTACCACCAGCATCATCACCACCATCACCACCACCATTTCCTCCTCCTCCCTCTTCATTGTCCTCTTCCCTCATCTTCATGGTGCGATCAGACACCAGCATTAAGGAAGGCTTTAATTGGCATTCCAGGGAGACTGGGGTGGGGACTTGGGCAGAAAGTAACCAGGGCAGTGACATTTCAGGTGAGACCAAAATGAAGTCAAAGAGAGACATGCAGGGAAGGTGCAGAGGCCCTGTGGCAGGACTGAGCCTGGTGAGTTGGAGGCTCAGTGAGGGGCCATGTGGCTGGAGCAGAGGGAAGGGGCAGGAGGTTCAGGAGGCTTTAGATTTTATTCTAAGGCGGGACGCTCTCTCCAGCAGAGGACAAACAGCGACCGTACCTACAGGGCCGAGAGACCAGATGCTTCCCCTTGGGGCAGAGCCAGGGAGCCCAGCTCCTGCAGAGCAGCCTGCGCAGGCTCTGTCTCTGCAGCCAGGCAGGAGACAGCGCGTGGCTGCGGCCGCGGAGCCCAGCACAGGCCTGGATAGAAACCGCCCGAGGCACGAGATAGGGAGAGGCCCCTGCACACACCGCCACAGCACCAGCGAAGGAGAGTGACCCAGGAAAACCGCCCCAGAGGGGGTGGGAGGGGAAGGACCTCACTCCCCCCACCCCCGGGCCAGGGCCCTTCAGCGGGTGGCGGGCGGCGCCCCCTCCTCCCTCCCGCGCCCACTGCCTTGAGCCCCGCTCCTGGAGCCCGGGCCCTCCCCACGGCCGTGCCTGCCTGCGCCCGGCCTTGCTCATTCCCCAGGGGTGTCTGCTCAGGTGCTCATCCAGCTGCCCAAATACAGCTTCAGTTGGACATTTCGTTGCACTTTGTCCCCAGGAGCAGTGCCCTGTCGTAACTGATGGCAACCGGGTTGTCTTCCTCCCAGAGCTCTGCCGTGCCCTCCCCAGGCACGCAGCCCCCAGGGTTCCACACTGACAACTAGATCTAACCACTGATTGCTTGATTGATCCCCAAATGATGGGCTTTTAAGGTAGATCCTTCCCTCCCCACCACCCCGTTAACGAGGTCTCAGCTGACTTCCGCTGTTGGTACAGATAAATCTCTCCACTCCACGTCCTGGACTGATCCCGTGTTGATGGACACCTAGATCAGCTCATCCATTTTTGTCTGTCAGTACCTGCCAACCTTCCTGCATATCCTGACACAGACTAGGATTTATTTTCACAATCCCTTATTGAGAGACACTTAGGTTGGTTCCACTTCTTCACTGTTTTAAGAACACGGCAGAAAGCCCTCCTGTCTGCGCCACTGTGCTGGGCTGACCTTTCTGCAGGGTGCACGGGTGTGGTTGAAGCCCTGTGGTGGTCTTCTAGGGTGACCATAACCGATTACCAGGAACTGGGTGCCTTTAAGACAACAGAGACTTATCCCCTCTCAAGAGGCCCTTGGTGTCCCTTGGCTTGTAGATGCATCACTCAGTCTGTGTCCTTGTCACTGTCACATGGCTGTCTCCGTATTCGCATTTTTTTTTTTTAGTAGCAGACCTTGAAGCCAGCGGCACTGGCCCTGCATGAGCTGCGCCCTGGCCCTGGGATCTCTGTGTCAAGGGGTCTTGCTCAGGTGCACCCCGCCTGCCTCGGCTCCCCACTCACCAGGAGAACAGGTGGCAGGGACTCTTGCACCTGCCAGCCGCCAGCTCGGGGCCCTGGTCCAGCCTGCCTGCCTGCCTCCCGGCGGCCCCTGCCAATGCGGCCCTCCCCACCACGTGTGGTTCCCAGCTCAGCATCAAAGAAGCCAGGAAGCCACTGCCCTCATGTCCAGCAGGTCAGGCTCTGGCCTGTCCCAGAGCCAGGTCTGAAGGGACAGGACGAGGGGAAGTGGGGGATGCCTGGGGCTTCAGCGGCTCAGAGGCCAAACACGGCCACCTGGCAGCCAGGCAAGCAGCCGGGCAGAAGAGGCGGGTGGTGCGGGCGGCTGCCATCTGGCTGTTCCTGCCACCCGACCCCATCTCAACCCCTGGGAAGGGTGGGCAGCCGGCGGTCAGCGAGCAGCAGGGGCCAGCAGGCTGCCCAGACGACCAGGAAGGCGCCCCCTCCGGGGCCTGCCGGGGCCTGGGCCTCCTGGCCACCACATTCCGCGCCATCCGGCCCCGAGACCCCCACTCATTTCCACCTTCACGCCCGGCCTGCACCTGCGCTCTGCCGGCCTCCGCTCCACCCGGCCTCTGCCCAGACGTCCTCCAGCTGCAGCACCCTCCCGGCTGCCTCGACCTTGAGGGTCCTGGGGCTGTCTGCTGAAGGCACCTGCCCTGTGCGCCCACTGCCTGAGGCCCGAGCCAGGCCAGCCAGGGTGGGGCTGGCCCCTCCAAGCCCCAGGAAGATCCCTGCCTCTCCCAGCTTCCGGGGGTTCCAGGTGTCGCCTGTCCCCATCTTCTCGTGGCGTTCTCCCCTCTGTGTTATCTGTGTCCATGTTCCCCTCTCGTTGAAGGACACAGTCACTGGACAGAGGCCTGCCCGCCCCGTGTGGCCTCCCCAACCCTTCATACCCAGAGTCCCCACCTCTGAGCAAGGCCCCCCAAGACACCCAGAGCAAGACTCCAACTTTGAGTCTCCTTGGGGATCACAGCAGCCCCCGACAGAGTCCAGCTCAAGTGTCCCCTTTCCTGGCCTGGAGTCACCCCCTCTTACAATCCTGGTCATCCGTCGGCTGACTCCCGACTCGTGGAGGCCCGGCCCTTGCTTCCCATGAAGCACGGCTGCTTGTCCTGCAGGGTGTGTCCAGCTCAGGCCCAGGCTTGGGGAGGGCGGAGGGGGGCCTGGAGGACACAGTGGGCCGGCATTAACACAAGTGGAAGGGTCCCGTGCCCCTCTCCCGTGGATGTGCACCCCAGGATGCAGGAGCCACGTCTGGCTTATGCACCACTGTACTCGAGCCTGTATACCACAGGCACTCCGTAAATGTCTGCCTCGTTCTGTGTATTTGCAGTGCTGGGAATCCAACCCAGGCAAGCGCCCTACCACTGAGCGACACCCCATCCCCGATGAATGTCTTTTTAAACAAAAGTACTGGCCTGTGTACGACTCCCCTCCAGGTCAGAGGGCCTTTCCTGCAGTGTTCCTACTGCGGTGACCGTCACATAGCAGTGCGTTCTGGACACTGCACCACCCCAGAAGGAAGCTCGGGCCCGCCAGGAGCCGCCAGTCCCTCCCCAGCCCCAGCCCCCAGGAATCCACACCCTGTCTCTGGCCCAGCCTGTTTGGGACGTTTCCAGCCAATAGGGTCACACACTCCTTTGGGAGGGGGTCCTCTGTTGTGTGGGTCCTTGTCGCTGAGCACGAGGTCCTTGAGGGCCATCCACGCTGCGGGGTGTGTCGGGCCTCGCTGCTGCTCCAGGCAGAATCGTGCTCCAGCCTGTGCAGGGCCACGCTCGCTGTGTGCCCATTCCTGCACCCGTGGACACCTGACTGTCCCCACCTATTAGCAATGCTGTGTCAGTGAAATTTGTGCTCGGGTCTCGGGACACGTGCCCTCCTCCTGGGCGCAGATCCCCAGGAGTGGAGTGCCACCCACACGGTGGGGCAGCAGCTCCCGGGGCCACCTGGAGTGGGCAGCCGCTCCCGGGGCCACCAGGGGTGGGCGCCCGCAAGGTGCTGACGCTGCCCCCGCCCGCCCGCAGGTGCGCTTGAGGATGCTGGCGCGGCCCTAGGCCCAGGCTCCGCACCATGACCGGCTGGCTGCGCGTGCTGAGCCTGCACCTGCTGCTGCTGCCCGCGGCGCCGCCCCCCGCCCGGGGCTGCCCGGCCCGCTGCGAGTGCGCCGCCCAGACGCGCGCCGTGGCCTGCGCGCGCCGCCGCCTGACCGCCGTGCCCGACGGCATCCCGGCCGAGACGCGCCTGCTGGAGCTCAGCCGCAACCGCATCCGCTGCCTGAACCCCGGGGACCTGGCCGCGCTGCCCGAGCTGGAGGAGCTGGACCTGAGCCAGAACGTCATCGCGCACGTGGAGCCCGGCGCCTTCGCCCACCTGCCGCGCCTGCGCGTCCTGCGCCTGCGCGGCAACCAGCTGAAGCTCATCCCGCCCGGGGTCTTCACGCGCCTGGACCACCTCACGCTGCTGGACCTGAGCGAGAACAGGCTGGTCATCCTGCTGGACTACACCTTCCAGGACCTGCACAGCCTCCGAAGGCTGGAGGTGGGCGACAACGACCTGGTGTTCATCTCGCGCCGGGCCTTCGCGGGGCTGCTGGCCCTGGAGGAGCTGACCCTGGAGCGCTGCAACCTCACGGCCCTGTCCGGAGAGTCGCTGGGCCATCTGCGGGGCCTGGGCGCCCTGCGGCTGCGACACCTGGCCATCGCCGCCCTGGAGGACCAGAACTTCCGGAAGCTTCCGGGGCTGCTGCACCTGGAGATCGACAACTGGCCGCTGCTGGAGGAGGTGGCCGCGGGCAGCCTGCAGGGCCTCAACCTGACCTCGCTGTCCGTCACCCACACCAACATCACCGCGGTGCCGGCCGCCGCGCTGCGACACCAGGCGCACCTGACCTGCCTCAACCTGTCCCACAACCCCATCAGCACGGTGCCGCGCGGGTCCTTTCGGGACCTGGTCCGCCTGCGGGAGCTGCACCTGGCCGGGGCGCTGCTGGCCGTGGTGGAGCCGCAGGCCTTCCTGGGCCTGCGGCAGATCCGCCTGCTGAACCTCTCCAACAACCTGCTGTCCACGCTGGAGGAGAGCACCTTCCACTCGGTCAACACGCTGGAGACGCTGCGCGTGGACGGGAACCCGCTGGCCTGTGACTGTCGCCTGCTCTGGATCGTGCAGCGCCGCAAGACCCTCAACTTCGACGGGCGCCTGCCGGCCTGCGCCACCCCCGCCGAGGTGCGCGGCGACGCGCTGCGCAACCTGCCCGACTCGGTGCTCTTCGAGTACTTCGTCTGCCGCCAGCCCAAGATTCGCGAGCGCCGGCTGCAGCACGTCTCCGCCACCGCGGGCGACGACGTCCGCTTCCTCTGCCGCGCAGAGGGCGAGCCGGCGCCCACCGTGGCCTGGGTGACCCCGCAGCACCGCGCCGTGACGGCCACCAGCGCCGGCCGGGCGCGCGTGCTGCCCGGGGGCACGCTGGAGATCCTGGACACGCGGCCGCAGGACAGCGGCACCTACACGTGCGTGGCCAGCAACGCCGGCGGCAACGACACCTACTTCGCCACGCTGACGGTGCAGCCCGCGCCGGCCGCCAACCGGACCCTGGGCGAGGGCCGCAACGAGACGCAGGTGGCCGCGCGCTTCCCGCTGGACCTCACGGCCATCCTGGTGTCCACCGCCATGGGGTGCATCACCTTCCTGGGCGTGGTGCTCTTCTGCTTCCTGTTGCTCTTCGTGTGGAGCCGCGGCCGCGGGCAGCACAAGAACCACTTCTCGGTGGAGTACTCCTTCCGCAAGGCGGACGGGCCAGCCGCGGCCGCGGGCCAGGGCGGAGCCCGCAAGTTCAACATGAAGATGATTTGAGGGGCGCTGGGGCCTCGCGGGGCTGGAAGCCCTGGGCCCAGTTGGGGAAGCCTGATCCTGGTCAGATGACCAGACTGATTTCCACCTATGCATTTTCCAAGGGGGAAGGGGAAACTGCAAGTCAGCTAACTGGCAGAACTTCCCCTTTTTTGTAGACACCCAACCACAGACTGTTTTTCATCAGAAAGCATCTTTTGTAGTTTCTCAAGTGTTTTCTAAAGGTTGCAACCTATCTTCCTGCCCCAGCTATGGTCCCTGGGTTGGGGGTAGGAGTGGGTGGAGGGACGGATGGCTGGGCGGCTCAGAGGCCCCCAGGGTCCCTGTGGCCTGCAGTTCACAACCAGGAGGCCCATGATTCTGCCCTCCCCGTCCCTGCCCACACAGCTCCCACATCTGGGGAGACAGTCTACACAGACGCCCCACAGAAGGGACAGCCCCAGGAACCCGTCCCCAGAAAGTCAGTGCTGCGCACACCCAGAGACACACACTCACACCTGGGGCCGTCACGCTGCTTGGAAGTGGGACACCTCACGCCCCACACAGCTGTGCAGCAGCCCGCTCCCAGCCCCCGCCAGGACCCGCGGGCTGCCCCCAGGAGAAGCCATGTCCCCAGCTTCCTCCACGGCCCTCACGCTGGCCCGGCCTCCCTGGCCTGGCCCAGGGGCCCTCTAGACAGGCAAGCTGCACGGGTCATCCACCCTGAGAGCCTGGGACCCCTGAGCCAGCTCAGACCAGCCCCAAATGTCCCCCAGCACCTGGCCCCTGCTGACCCCTGCTCTGGGGGCTGGAGCAGGGTCAGGGCTGCACCCCAGGGCAGCGAGGAGGCCGGCCCCGCTCACCAGGGGGAGCAGGGGACAGAGGTGCAGGGGGCCGAGGGCCAGGTGGGGGGTCCCAGGCAGACGGTGGTCTGGTAAAGAAAGCCCAGACCAGCGTCCCCTGTTCTGCGAGGGGTGGGCTCCCGTCCCGGGGTCAGCCGTGGGAGACTCCTCGGAAGGGTCCAGACCCCAGACAGGACCTGCCCATGACCTGACCCACCCAGCTCCGACCGCCCTCCGCCTCCACCAGGGGACAGTTGGGACACTGAGGAAGGGCACGGGAGCCCGCAGGCTGGCCTGAGCCGGGCTGGGACAGTGTCCTCGGAGGTTCCAGAGACCGCGTCAGTGGGAGCTCTCAGCTGGACTGAGGACCGCCCAGGCCCCCGGTGTCCTCCGTGAGTGGGTCTGGGCACCCCCGTCCGGGCCTGCGGAAGGGCTTGGTGGCTCCACTTGGATCCGGGATCTGGGGTCAGGAATCTCGCAGGGAGAAAGCAAGCTGGCCACGCGCACAGGGGTCAGGTGAGCCTGGGGGACGCGGCCCAATCTCCCGGGGCTGGGACTGGGCATGTGGGAGCCTGGCCCTGCCCGTGGTGGACCAGAAGGTGAGCGCTGCCCTGGACGGTGGCCAGGTCCGCTCTGTCCCCCAGCCTCCTCCTGACCTGGGTCGCCATGACAACACGGAGGCCCTCAAGACGACGACATCCAAGTGCCTTCAGCCTCCTTGAGACAGGAGGGCGCCGGCCCGGGCCACAGGGCGGCAGGGCACGGTCTCCGCCCCTCTCCCCGTCCCCCCTGCTGTATGTGACTGGACCCAATAAAACGGAGACGGGTTTAATCACAAGTTCACGTTGTTCCCTGGGAGGGGCAGGGCTGGAGGCTGCGGTGAGGAGGCTCCCGGGGACCCAGAGAGGCTGTCACCAGAGGCCCCTCAGGGCACCCACTGTTCTGTTCCAGGCACTGGGGGGCCACCCTGAGGACGGCCTGTGAGCTGGTGCCCTCTGATCCTGATTTCCAGATGGACCGGGGGAGGCTGGAGGGTAGAAGGGGTGGGACCGGAGGCCACACGACGGAGGGAGGGAGGGAGGGAGGGAGGGCTGATGGGCCGGCAGGCCATCGGGGTAACTGGGGACCCGAGCTCAGGCAGGGGCAATGAGAAAGCAGGTCTCCACAGGGCCCTGGGGGAGTCACCTCCCCTGGGGGCCTGTCCCCCGCCTTGGCAAGGCCGAGCCCTGTAGCAGCACTGGTGAGTGCTCACACCTGACCCCTGGCCGAGGGGACACCGGGGCACAGAGAATGACACACCTGGTGTCAGGGCTCAGACCCCACCTGTCCCCGAGGCGGCAGGAGACACCTGTCCTCGCTCTGGGAGGAGGAGGATGGGGTCAGGGTGGACCCCAGGGGCCACGGCCCAGAACAGCCTCCCTGGCTGTCCAGTGTTGGTTGCCTGGCCTCAGCTTCCCCGACTGACAGGGGAAGGAGGCTCCTGTCTCTCCCTGCCCTCTGGGGGGTGGAGGTCAAGGGACAGCCCGAAGGCGGGCGGCTGGCTGGACATGGTGGCTTGCTTTCCCCTCTGTCCTTTGGCAGAAGCAGGGAAATGTGCCTCAGGGCCCCTGGAGGGCCGCCCAGTCCTGTCCAAGGCCTCTGAGTCCCCGATTCAAACCAGGAACGATGCCCAAGCTTCCCTATGTCACCCGTGGAGGGGACAGAAGGAGAGGCCCCGCTACAGAGGCCTCCTCCACAGGATGAGGCCCGGCCGAAGGGGAGGCCGCCTCCATGGGAGCTGGAAAGCCAGAGGCAGCCCTCGGAGTCTGTGGGCCAACCACGGGGAGCCCCAGGCAGCCCAAGGCCACGCACCTCCGACCCCATCACACATGGACACCCGGGGCTGCCCTCCCTCCCTCGGCCCCCACTCTGCCCCTCCTCCCCTCCCTGTGCGCAGGACGGTCCCTCCGTCTCTTCAGGTTCTTCCTCCCGTTGTTCGTGTTGGTCCCCTGAGAGGTTTGCTTGAGGTTCCAGGGGAGGCTGCTGCTGTGTACCCCAGGGCGAGCTGCTGCCCTCTCTGTGCCTTGGTGCTCAGGGCTAGTATCCCTGTTTTCCTGGATATGCAGGATGAAGCCATCGGGCTCCCTCCCCTGTCACCACCTTAGGGTCCGCGCCTTAAGACCCAGCAAATGGGGGCTGGGCTGGGGCTCAGAGGCAGAGCGCTCGCCTGGCACGTGTGAGGCCCTGGGTTCGATTCTCAGCTCCACATAAAGATAAAGACATTGTGTCCACCTAAAACTGAAAAATAAATACTGAAAAAAGACAGAAGGGGATGATGCCAGTGGGTGGCGCACACCTGTCATCCCAGCAGCTCAGGAGGCCGAGGCAGGAGGATTGCGAGCCTCTTGGGAGGTTGAGGCAGGAGGATCATGAGTCCAAAGCGAGCCTCCGCAACAGCGAGGCCCTGAGCAGCTCAGTGAGACCCTGTCTCTAAGTAAAATGCAAAACAGGGCTGGGGACAGCTCAGTGTCCGTCCCGAGTTCAATCCGTGGTGTCAACAAACAAAAAAGCACAGAAGCCTTCCCAGGGTTTCAGGAGCTCAGAGTCTAAAACGGGAGGCCAGGGCTGTCCCCCCGAGGCCCGGAGAGTCCTCACCTGCCTCCGCAGCTCCGGAGCCAGCGGCACAGCGTCCTCAGCCTCTCTCTGGCCCTCCTGCCCCCCTCATGTGGACCCTGTGGTGACACTGGGCCCCGATGACCAGGGTGACCTCACCTCAAAGCCAGCTGTTAGCAGCCTCATTTCACCAACTTGGCTCCCCTGGCTGAGCCCGTGCCACAATCGCCGGCCCTGGGGACGGTCACAGACATCTTTGGGGCCACTCTTCTGCCCACCACATGGACATCCATGCCCCCTGCCCTGCGCAGGCGAGGTGGGTGGCCCCGGCGCCCGGAGCTCGGTGGAAGCCTGGAACCCAAGGACAGCCCTGGGACCGGGGCCACTGGGGTGGACATCCCTGACTAGACACTGCGACCCTGCTCTGGCCACCCTCAGCCTCTGCCCTGCTCCCAGCAAAGCTTTAGTCACAAGCTGCCGACCAGCCACCGCGTGCCCCTCGGACCCCAGCAGTCAGGCCCCATGGAACATCTCATCACGATGTCACGCGTCAGGCGGAGGCCACGCTGCCGTCCCCGCCGCTCGGGAGGCTGAGGCAGGAGGATGGCAAGTTCACGGCCAGCCTGGGCAACTCAGCAAGGTCCTACCTCAAAATAGAAAATGGAAAGCGCCTTCGGCCTCTGAGCGACCCTGGGCCCGCTGGCCAGGCCTGGCCCTCAGGGGACGATGCCCTGGCCTTGGCCCCCAGCCCCAGGGGAGCACCTCTGGGCCTGGCCCTCGCCCAGATCCCAGCCAGGCGGGGACACTGGCCGGGACACCTGCCCCAGGCTCTGGAGGGGGCACAGCGGGTGGTCTTGTCCCCTGCCCTCTCCACCTGGGACAGCGGGACCGTAGGACCCCAGCCTCGCACAGCCTGCAGGCCGCGGTGCGCCAGCAGCTCTGGTCCACGCCTCCCGGGTGCCGGGGACAGTGGAGCTGGACCCTGAGCCGGGAGGATGAGGCAGGCCGAGTCTGGGGAGGTGGCCTCCAGCTAGAAGTGCCTCCACAGGGGGGGGGGGGGGGGCTCAGGTGACGGGGGCCAGCCCCGACCTTCCCCAGGGGACGGGCACCGCGCTCAGGCTGCACAGCAAGCACGTCCCTGCCCTGTGGGGACGTCGCCGGGCAGGACCCGGGGTCTGGCCAGGGGTGAGGCTTGGCGTGTGCTGGAGCGGATCCCTGGCTGCTGGCCCCTCGTTCTGACCACAGCTTCCCGTTGGTGGCTCCTGCATGTCCACGTCTTCCAGAGATGGACGCAGGGACAGGAAGTGGGACGAGGAAATCTGCTAAGAATCCACATCTGGAGCAGAAGGTGGGAGCCAGCTCTTTGGGTGCTGCAGCACAGAGAGGGATGGCGGTGTGACACGGTCACACAGCCGGCAGAACAGAGCCCGCAGGGTCCTTGCTGGAGGCCGCGGTCCGGGACCCGGTGGGGGTGCCCCGGGGCGTCTCCGGGGCCTGCCGAGGGGACCCCCCCTTCTCCCAGGATGGAAGTTGCTGGGCCTCCTCTCGCCCAAGGTGGGGCGGCTGGATGTGCCCGGGTCCCCGTCTCACAGGGGTCCCCACTGCCACCCAGCATGGCCCTCAGACCTCAGCCCGTCCTTCCTCCTCCCCCCGCTCCGCGGGCAGCCCGGGCCTGGTACCGGGCCCACCTCCCATCTTGCCCAGGCTGCTTCCCCGGCACCGCCCCCGCAGGCCAGGGGAGGAGGCCGCGGCTGGGGAAGTGATGCCCCGAGTCCCGGCCCCACCCCCGGCCAGCCTGCGGTCTAACCGCTGCCCAGTGCTTCCTGAACCCTCCCGGGAGGCCGAGGGCCCCAGCCGCTGGGATCCTGGCCCCAGGGTGGTCCCCGAGGTCACGCCAGTCCTGAAGGTAGGGGTCCTCGAGGGGCGGGAGGAAGCAGCAACTTTTCAAGGTTGGGGGTAGGTAGGGGTGGCCAGAAAGGGCAAGGAACTCACTGAGTGTCACACAGCAGTCAAGGCTGGAGGGAGCCGGAGAGAGCAGCTCTGCTCAGAGCCCTCCCCCACGTGTGTGGTCCCCTGCAAGTGCCCACCCACCTTCCCGCAGCACCATGAGTGGCCCTGAGCCAGGCGCCGAGAGCCCGGAGTCCGACCACCTGCCCTGGTCAGCTCAGCCCATCTACAGCAACCTCGGTGAGCAGCCCAGCTCAGGGGCCCTGTCCTGGGGGAGAGCAGGGGCAAGTGCTAGACTCAGGGGTGTGACGGAGACAGGGGACAACAGGGCAGCAGACTGTAAAGATGGCCACCAGCTCAGAGCCATGTGGGAAAATGGGGGTCCCCGGTGTTGGAGTCTCTAAGACTGACCCCCCTCCTCTGAGCCCGGGCTTCTCTCCTGCAGACTGGGGGTGGCAGCCTGTCCTACAGGACAAGAGGTGGCTGGTGTTTCCATTTTAACCAGGCGGCCGCCACAGCTGTCATCCCAGCAGCTCTGGAGGCTGAGGCAGGAGGGCCAGAGTTCGAGGCCAGCCTCAGCTACTTAGCAAGATCTTGTCTCAAGATAAAATAAAAGGGCTGGGGTGCGGCTCTTGGAGGGCGCTCTGCTCCTGACCCTCAAAAGGCAAACCAACCAACCCACGTTTCACTTCAGAGACAGGGAGACGCGGGGGGTGCCAGGGCCCACATCCCGCCTGTCCTCAACCGGCCCCTCTCTCCCGACAGGAGAGGTGCGTGCCCACCTGCTGCCCTCCAAGGCCTGCCGCCCCCGGACTCCCAGGTCCCTCTCCTCTGACCCCCAGCCCCCACCCCCGCCCCTGCCCAAGAAGACCCTCGCCCGAACCCAGTCCCTGCCCACCCGCAGGGCCCCCGGCCCCAGCTTGGCCCGAGCAGGGCAGCCTTGGCGGCCCCTCCAGAGGTCCCCCAGTGAGGACGTGAGCCGGGCCACGGCGCTGACCTTGGACGGACCCCGTGCCGCGCTGGGCCTCTCCGCCCACCCCCTGAACAGCCCCGAGGCCGTGCAGGCCGCACTGGCCGCCCGGCAGCTGGACGCCCTCCGTGACATCCATGCGAGGCTCCGAGCCCGGCTCATGGGTGGCCGCCCGGGCCCCTGCCTCCCGGGCCACAGCTTCCGCCTGCTGGACAGCTTGCCCTGCGTGGAGAGCGGGGAGGCCCTCTACTACCGCGTGGTGCGCGTGGACGGGGTGGCCTGGCACGTCCTGGCTGCCAAGGTGAGCCTGCCCCTGGCACCCAGCACACCCGGGTGCCCTCCCTCCTGGGCAGGACCCAGGGTGTGCTGGTGTCGCCCAGCCCAGTCCACGTGTCCACTTTGCAGCCAAGTCATGAAGAGACGCCTGGAACCGCCTGTCTGAATGTGGGGCCGGCACCTGGGCGGCACCTGGGGTTGTAGAAATCCCTCCCACACCTCTCAGAGGCCAGGGGTCCGCTTTACCTCCTGCCCGGGCCAACCCGGCTACACACCTGAGTTCAAAGGCCCCTGGGTCCAAGCTGGGCACTGCGGCTCATGCCACAATCCCAGCGGCTCTGGAGGCTGAGGCAGGATCACCAGTTGGAGGCCAGCCTCAGCTACTTAGCAAGAGTATCTCTGTTCTCAAAACAGAACACTAAAAGGGCCAGGTGGCTCAGGAGCAAACTCCCCGTGTCAATTCCTGGCACCAAATAATAATACTAAGGCATGAGATGGCCCCAACCCGGGTCCAGCCCGCAGGAGAGCGTCTTTCTGAAAACCCGCCCGGAGCCCCAGCCCAGCTGACTCTGGAGCCTCCTCCAGGCCCGGGCTCTCATCTCCCAGAATGCTCACGGCTGAGTCTGTCAGTCACCCAGACTCCTGAGCACCCCGGGTGTGGCTGGTCCCCTGGGGGTGTGCTGGGTCAAGGGCACACCAAACCTCAGTGACACTAGTCTAGATGACATCCCTCACCACGTGAACACCCAAAGAGACTCTTTACTCGATGGCCTCTTATTTTAAATACTGGGGTCCATAGATACATTATGAAAATCACCTTCACCGTCTGCCTGTCACGGCCTCCAGTGTGGCTAGTGGCCAGCTTAAATACACAGGCGGGCCAGTATTTCTATGGGACTCCCTGGCCTGGGTCCTGGCGGACACCTTCTCCCTCGGTGAGAACCACTCTTTGGTAAACAGGGACTTGCACCCCTGACCACCCTCCTCTCGGGCTCCATTTCCCTGAGGCCATCGTTAGCCACTAACATCCAAAGGAACACGGATGATCATGATCGTCTGTTCCTGGAGGCGCTGGGGCCGTGGCTCTAAGCCTGGTGGGAGGGGGCGGGGCTGAGGCAGGCAGGGAAGGCTTCTAGAAAGGTAGGGCCCCCTGCGGGCTGTGCTGGTTGGGGGACGCAGTGGTCGGGGTCTGATGGCCCCCTCTGACCCACAGGTGCCCAAGCCGGGAGCGACCGTGCCCCACCCATGGGGCGTGGAGCTGCAGGCCTCGCTGCCTCCACACTTCAACCTGCAGGGGCTGTGTGGCTTGGTGCCCGAGGGCGCACTGCCGCTGGCGCCCTGGAGAGGTCCCGCGGTGCTGGCCGCGGAGGTGCCAGAGCGTACAGTGGCGCAGTGGCTGGCAGAAGTCGGCGCACAGCGGCCGGCTGAGTCTGCGTGGGAGGTGGCCCTCTTGTTCCTGCAGCTGAGCGCCGCCCTGGAGCGCCTGGAGGCGCAGGGCGCGACCCTGCTGGAACTGCGGCCAGAGAACCTGCTGCTGGCGGCGCCGCGGGGCTGTGGGCCAGGACCCCCGCGCCTGCTGCTTGCCGACTTTGGCTGCGTCTGCCAGCGGCCCCAGGGATCCCTGGGCGCCCATGCGCTGCAGATGGGTCGCCTGCTCCGCACACTGCTGGGCCCGGCCACGCCCTCGGCCACACCGGTGGCCGTGGGCCTGGAGCGCCTGGTAGCCCAGCTGCCCCGAAGGCGGCCCTCGGCGGCTCAGACGCGGGGTGCGCTGCAGACACTGCTCTGGGGGCCGGGGCTTGAGCTGCGTGGCCGCGGGGCACCGCTGGGGCCCTGGCTGCGGGTTCGCCGCGCGCTGCTGGTGGTGCACCTGGCGGAGCGCGCTGCAGGCGGGGAGGCGCCGGGCCTGGAGGACTGGCTGTGCTGTGAATACCTGGCCGAGGCCACCGAGGCCTCGCTGGGCCGCGCCCTGGAGCTGCTGTGGGACTGACCCCAAGGAAGAGTGCACACCTACCTGTCTCCAGGCCTGCTGGAGAAGCAGCACCCCCTTCCCAGGACTGGGACAGGCCAGCATCGCCATCAGAGTGCAGGAGGCCAGCAACCAGCACAGGGTGTTGCTCCCACCTGGGCCGAACTCACCGCCCCAAAGGCCCCAGCAGAAAAGTCCCAACCCACATCTCTAAGCAAATAAAGCGCCTCCGGGCCCTTGCTAGCGTCTCTCCTGCTTTCTGCCTACTTGCGGCTCACCGTCTCTCTTACCAACTACCCTGCCCATAGGCTGAGCTCCCTAGGCACACAGCAGGTGCCCAATAGCATGATACTGGAGCGACTGACACTGAAGCCACCTGGGATCCCAGTGGCTCAGGAGGCTGAGGCAGGAAGATACCAACTTTGAGGCCAGCCTCAGCAATCTAGCAAGGCGCTAAGCAACTTAGACTCCATTAAAAAAAAAAAAAAAAAAAAAAAGGACCCCTGGGTTAATTCCTCAGCACCGCTCTCCAGCCCGTTTCCCATCAAAGATAGGAAATCTCCCAGCCGTATTCCACGGCGTGACCAGCAGGGGGCGCTACAGCTGCATGGAAGGCCAATAGTCACCCACGTGTCCATCCAGGGTCTCCTCTCCCTCCTGCCCCCATCTTTGGCCTTGACCCTCAACTTACCCAGCCCATCAGACAGGGTAGACACTCGCCTGGGCCTGTCCACTTTTGCTCAGGCCCAGAACCAAGAATGCCACTCCCTGGGTGCTGCAGAGTGAGGCTGTGGCAGACACAGAACTGGAGACTGAGGCCCATGGCCAACTCCCACGCGCCCTTAGTCCACCAGGACTGCCCCTGAGGGCTGGTGGACAACCTGAGCCCCTGAGCCACCTGACCTGCCAGGAAGACTAAGGGATAAGTCAGATGAGAACACCCAGTCCCTGGGGAATGCAGTAAGTTGCAGCGGTTCACTTGGAATCTGGGGAAAGGGCTGTGACTTGGGTTCAAGTCCCACAGCCCCCCACCAAGCTATTGAGGGGGCCAGAGACTGTTCCAGAACAGTCAACACCAGCCTGATACCAGCTTTTGAGTGTGGGGCAGCAGGGTAGGCTCAGACCCCTGGCTACTGTGTGACAGGTGGCCCAAGACCCCCCAGCCCAGAACGTCCCTCCCCGGGGCCCACTCCCAAGTTAACACCATGGAGCCAACAGAGGTGTGACCACTTTTATTGGGATTTTTAAGAGCAATAAAGGGGTAGGTTAACACCTGTCTCTCCAGGTGAAGAGACCAAGACTGTTTCCAAAGACTCCAAAGAAGAAATTCCTCAGGTACAGATAATCTGAATCATCTTAAACCAGCAATAAAAAAGTAAAATATAAATTTTTATTTAGAATTAAAGCAAATACTTCAGTATCACAAACACAATATTAAACTTCAAGAAATATACCACTAATTTGGAGTGAGCGTTTATTTGCACAATTACGACATGCGGACAAACCCAGGAGAGACGGAGGAGCAGGATGTTTGCACCCCAGCACAGCTGCCAGGCCCCCACCCCAAACACACAACACTGGGGGGCCTGCCTTCCAGGGCCTCCGTCTCCAGCCCGGTGGGCCCTGAGGAGCTGCGTGGCCACTACTCCTCCTCTCCTGAAGACTCTTTCTCGAACGTGTAGGCCATGAAGCAAGCGTCGGGTCTCTTGGGGACAAGGGGATGCCCTGGTCTCACAATCTCAAAGCCCAAAAAGCTGAAGGTCCGGAGCAAAGCGGCTGCGGGGGGGGAAACACTGTCAGCCTGCAGGACCCTGGACAGCAGAGGGGCTCCCAGCAGTGAGAGGGGGCGGGCAAGCAGACCAAGAACTCCCACCAGGTGCAGGCGGGTGGAGGCATCATGTGGGAGGCACCTGCGCTCCCCCCACCCTGCAGAACCCGGGTAGCAGGTGGAGTCACCTACCTCTGTCCTCGCGGTTCTTATGGAAGCAAATAAAGACATGGTCAGCATGAAGTTGCTCTTCGGCAAACTCAAGAAGAACTGCAAAACTGAAGCAAGCACAGACGTCAGCACCCCTGTGCACCCTCTGGTTCTAGCCCTGGCCCCGTCCATGTCTCCCAAGCCTCATTCAAAGTGGACACCTGGCTGTGTCCCTGGGTCCCCACAGGGCATTGTGGACTACGCCATTTGTTCTCTGGGCATGGCATGCCCCTCCTACCCCATCAGGACAACCAAGAAAGGTCTCCAGACACTGCCACTGTCCCCTGGGAGCAAATTCTGTGAGACCTGCTGGTGCCCCATTTAAAACACTTCCCCCCGGGCTGGCCCCACCTGTCTTTGCTCCCCTCAGGCAGAGCGCCAGCTGGGATCTCGATGTAGAGGCTGTTGCTGCTCCACACTGCTCTCCAGTTAATGTGTTTGGCATCTGTGAGCCTGGACTGGACGTTAAGAATTCTCGTCTTGTTATTAGACGTTAGTTCCTCTGTTACATTCAGCCGATTATCCTGTCACAGGAGAGAGCCCAGTCTGCTATTTTGGAAAATATACCACTATATGACCACACATGACCCATCACCCCTCAAGCAGAAGCAACACCTGATGGCTGCTCTGGAAAACCCAGGCAGCACCACGGCAGGGTCACCCAGCAGTGCCAACACCTGGGCCTCAAAGCCTCTCAGGGAGGTTGCTGAAGTCCAGGACAGGGGCCCCAGTTTGAGGCTCCAATGGGAGCCAGCAAGATTACTTGCTGCTTGGGGCCTTCTGTGCACCCAGTTTGATGAAGTTCAAATTCCACAGGCATGGAGCAGCAGGTGACTTCTGCTCAGGCCCACCGGACCGTCATTTGGGAACCACACTCTTGCTCTATCCCCACCCAGACACTGACCAGCCCAGGGAGCCCAAATACTTACAGAGTAAAATAAGTTAGCTGAAAGATTGTGATCCCTCTGACTATTCCCTCGCCCACCTGGGATCTTCAGGGGTGGGTGAGGGACATCAGGAGCACCACCGAGGCCCTGGACCCAGGTTACTACAGCAACTGAGGGAGACCCTAGAACTGGGAGAGAGAGAGGCTGGTTAAGGGGGCAGCCCCATCAACTTCGCCTTTATCTGCTTTCCAGAGCCCACTCCCTACTGCACTGTGCCTTCCCTAGTCATGCCTCTGGGCTATCCAGGGTTTGCCTAAAGCCTTCAACCTGGACAAGAGAAACAGTGGACGGGAATCTGACTCCTGGGGAGAAGATGTTGATGCCCACAATTCTCTGCTCTGACCATCTAGGGATGGGCAGTCTTGCCCAACCGAAGCCCGCCGCACTGAAGTTTTGCTTCCCGTTTCGTGATTGTCATTTTTGTGAGCATCATCGTAAGGTCACTCAACTATTTCTTCCTAGGTCTCTCTTCTCTCAGTAACTGCTGACTGTGTGTGTGGATATGGTGTTTCTAATTGAAGTTGCTTTGGGGAGAAGATTCTTTAAATCTTGTTTTATTGAAGCCAAATTTGCGCTAATTTCTGTCAGATTCTATACCAGATACTGCAAAACAATTTTGTGGAGTGACTGCAAGAAATGCCCAATCGAAGCCCGCCGCACTGAAGTTTCCTTCCCGTTTCTAACCTCAACACTTCAGCTTCCCCTTTCCAACTTCACACTCCCGCAAGAATCTGAAAGTCTAGCTCTTCTCAGAGCCGCGCCTCCGGTCTCTAATGGAACTTCCCTCTAGGGCGCAGACCTTTGGTCGTAGGCAGAAGCCACCAGTGCTCACAGCCGGTTTTGATCCCAACCCTTGACAGACGGCCTGGCTCCGCCCCTCTGGCACCCAGGGCTCAGGCCCCGAGTTGCGTCATATCGCTGACTCGCCTCACGCCCCAGGGGGAGTTTTTCACAATTGCGCACCCGGCAGCTCAAGCAGCCATTTGCTGCGCAGTGTAAACAGCCCCCAAATCGCCTCCATTTTGCAAAGCCTCGAGGCGGGGGGGGGGGGGGGGCACCAGACCGCAGCCCCACCAACACAGAGGTCAGTTTCCCAGCCGCGGGAGCAATCAACGCCCACCTGGGAAGTCTGCCTCGGACGCCACCCCAGCAGAGGCAGAGCCAGTACCCCGCCAGCCGCAAACCACCTCCGCCTCCGGCACCGCGCGCACGGAAGCGGCCTGGATCGCTCTTCCCAGCAGGCGGCGGCCATCGCCGCCGTGCGCTCCGGGGTACTGTCCCGCCGCGGCAGTCACAGCAGAAAAAAGCCCGGAGCACCGTCTACGTGGGCGGCCTCGCCCGGAGCACGTCCAGGGCCTGGGCCATCCAGACCAACTCCCTCCGGAGCTCGAAGCGGAGCCCACGAGAGCGGCCTTAACAGGGGACCAGTTTACGAGAGTGAGTCCAGCCACGGAGCGCCCACGGTCCCTGCAGGCAGTCAGGGGCGGCCGCGACCGAAAAGTGCAGATTCATGCGACCGAAAAGTGCAGATTCATGCGACTGCCGGCCCCAGTCGGCCTCCGGGCAGCCCAGCCCCCACCCACCCCCGGATTCGACCCGACCCACACCAGGGCCCGAAACAGACTCCTCCACCGAGGCCCCAAGCCATCTAGCCCAACCGACACAGGTCCGGCCCTCGACCCCACCCGGACTCCCTGTCCTGAGCGCCCCAAACCTCTTCCCAGGCTCACTCCCCTTCCCCCCGTCCCCCTCCACACCTGATTCCCAACTTCAGGCCACTCCCCGCAATGCGACTCTCCGTTCCATGCACTCGAATCAGACCCCAATCGCACCCCAAAGCGGAAACCGCAAGTAGAGACCTCCAAACCCCACCACCCCTGGAGCCCACCTCTTCATCTCGGTCCCCTACTCCACTCCCCTCCCCCAAGCCGCGACCCCTAAACTAACCCCGAAGAGAACCCCTCTCCCCGATCGGACTCCCATCCTGCGACCCAGGCTCGCACTCGACCCACACCCCGCCCTAAATCTTTCTTCATCCTGCCACCCGCAAAACCGGGCGCCCGACCCCACGCCCCGCCCCCGGCCCTCCCAGCGCGCTCAGGCCGGGGGCGCCCGGGACCGGCCCCGCCCCCGCCGCCGAGAACCCGCCCCCGGCGCGATTGTGGCCTGGACAAAGGGGCGGATCTCGCGCTCCCAGGACCTATCTGGCTCCCAGAGACCGGGCCCCCCGGGCCTGCGCGGCCAGCGCTTCTGGAAGGTTCGGGCGGGGGCGGGGCGCTCACTTCTCGCTGCTGCGGCCGCCGCGGCTGTGCAGACTAAGTAG